ATATTGATTTTTATAATATTCTTACAAAGCAGCCTCCGTTGCGGTTTTTCAATTATCAAAAATTTTTTAAAAACAAATCTGGTACATAATATCATTATATTATTTTATAAAATTATATTAAATAACGAAATTTTAATTCCATTTTTAATATTAATATAAAAAACACTCAACATTTATATAAGATAAGTTATAAGATTCCTTTTATCGGAATATCATTATTATTATGTGTCACTGTGCATTTTTTTCTTTGTAATTGCAGTCATGTATCTAAATCTCAATGCAGGTGAGGCTTTCTCACTCGAAAATTTGATGAACGGTCCAGTAAAGAAAGCGCTCGGTATCAAATTCGTTCACGGCAGTCAATCCTCTGACGTTTTTGAATACTTAGCAGAAGATTTTATGAAACCTGTTACTCACATAGGTACCTGTCAAGTATATTGACAGAATGTCATTGTAGCGAAAGCGAAAGAAAGAAATTGATGTTGATTGATGGAGATAGTTATTTCCAAGTAACAAATGTAAAAGTTAGACAATTTGTAAGCATAAAAGAAATTGTTGAAGCAGTTTTAATAAATGTGTAAAATAAAACAATATTTATATTACAATATATTGCATAAATATATAAATTAATTGACTGCTACATTCTAATACATTCGCTTTAAATCAAATTAATTTATGATGTAAAGAATTACTCCACATAATTAGAATTTATAATATATTCTAATTACTAATATAAATGTAAATATAATTATTTTAGTGGAAGCATTATTGAATGAAACCGACTTGAACGTATTTGTCTACAATGGACAAATGGATTTGATTGTTGATACACTAGGTAAGTTGTTATTATACTAGGAAAAAGATTTAGTGCCTTCAGCAAAATTTAGTTAAGGGATTTTTAATAGCAACAAAATATCTTGTTTATATAACAAAAGTTTAGTTGCTTTTACAAAATAATTTTTCTACTTTGTAAATAATAAAAATATTTTTGTATACTAATTAAACAATACTAATTAACAATTTAGTTTATATAAAATTATAATTTTGTTTAGTACATTTGTTTAACCAAAAATTTTTGTTGTTACAGAAAATTTTAATTCACAAAACATTTTTCTTACTATATTTTATTTTCTGACGCATTTTTTATTAAACTTTCCTATTCTTTAAACTTTTAATAAACATTTTAATAGCACAGTATATTATTAATAATATTAATTAAAAGAAATTTGTTCTATCATTTATTATTATTCCTGCGATAATATTTTGATATTAATATTTTAGAAGTAAAATCATTCAATAGCTTTAAATATTTTTTTTTTGCGTTTTAATAACATTTACGTTAAAAACTATTTAAGCTTTAAACTGATTCAAAAGACATCATTAATTTTCATTTTGTAATTGATATGACAACATAAATTCTTGTGTATGTGTTTTTAATATCTTTTATTTTATACGTATTTTTTTTATAAAATCGTCAGTTTTTTGATTAAATAATTAGTATTATCTTTAACTATCACCATCCAATTCATATTACATGTTACTACGACCTATTACACCATTTTTATACTATTTTAACATTATATAAGTTTTATCATACATCATATATTGTTTCAGAGCATCCGTACATTCCATTTAAAAACGAAGGAAGAGATTATTTTGAAAAATATTTCAGACAAAAGTTGTTGAGGATTAAGTAACGCATTATATACAATTACATATGCGATTGACTTTGGGTGGCGACGTGAAGATAATGTCGAGATCGATTTGAATTTTTTAAATAAAAATCTATATCTTTTATTATATATTTTTGTAGTTCATGGTGTTTTCGAAACACTAATTACAAAACTCTTTTTAATTGAGATTTTCTTGAGTTATGAAATTTCGAAGTTTCAGTACTGTCGGCATTAGCATTACTCAAGATTTACCGCGTGGAAGTCGCACGATCGGATTTACATCTCTTTTCAAGGTACTTGATTAAAGTCTCCTTAATCGCATATGCCCATGTAATATATTATTTGATCCTCAACGTTTGTCTAAAACATTTTTCAAAATAATCACTTTCCTCGCTTTTAAATGGGGTGCATGATCTGAAACACCCGGTATACTAGATGTTTAAAATAAAATCTTACACACACACACACACACACACACACACACACACACACACACACAATTTTTATCTCGAAAACATTTTAGAGAAAAATATTTCATACGAAAAGTTTTGTAATTTCAAAAAGGACATGAGATGATATCATTGATTTGAGTTTGGAGATTGTCAAGGTCACATAGAATTTTTTGAATGAGAATTTTTCTTTAGTTTTTATTGCATATTCTCGTAGCTTACCTTAGAAACTTTTCAAAACATTGTAATAAAATTTTATTAAATATTTTTCGAGTTACAATTTAAAAAGTATTATACCGCCGGCATTTATAGCATTATCTAAGGTATCCGATCGACGGCTAAAACCTTTTGAATGTTGTTCAGAGTTATAACATTTGTTAAGATCAAGATCATTGTTTCTTTAATTCTTGTTTCTTAATTCTTGTTTTTACGTTATTAAAAATGAAAATTAAAAAAACGTTTTTCACCTTGATCTTGGTCTTGACAAATTTTATCCAAGTCTGATTCTGAACAACATTCAAGAAGTTTTTTAGTCATCGATCGGACATCTTGGATAATGCTAATATCGGCGGTATTAAAACTTTTAAACAGTATAACTCAAAAAGTATTTAATAAGTAATTAAAATATTTTATTATAGTGTTTTGAAAAGCTTTGAGGTAAGCTACAAGAATATATAAGAAAAATGGGAAATCTCATTCTATATGACCTTGCTCTGACCTTGACAACGCTATCCAAGTTCAAATTAATGATATCATCTCATGTTTCCCTCGAAATTACAAAATTTTTAAATGTTTAATTTTCTAAAATATTTGGTTTTCGAAATAAAAATTTATAACGCTTTTAATCACCCGGTATATATTTTAGGTACTCTTCACTGGGTCGAAAAACTGAAATGGAAAAACGCCGACACCTGGAAAAATTCAAATAGGAATTCGTTCGTCTTTAAATCCATCGTTGAGGGCTATTTGAAGGTTCAAGACAACTTCAGGATGTATTGGGTCAACAGAGCCGGACATATGGTACGCATATACAAGGCACTTTCTCTGTTCCCCCTTAGCTTTCATATTTATAAGCCGCAAGCGATAGCCCCGAGATTAATTTACTACAAGAAAAATCCTAGATCCATACGCAATGTTCATTTTACATCCGCCAATTTGAATGTAAGATGATGTTACACTGTCGATTTTATTGCTTCCGTAACTTATGTAAAGAAGGTTACAGATGTTTTTAGTTATGAACATTATTATAGTTAAAGTAATACAATTAAAATATTCATAATCCAAATATTTTAACGAATATTATTAATATTTTTCAAAATTATTTTAAATTATATTTATCGATTAATAATTTGGCAATATTCATATATATACATTTTACTTAAATGTAATACGTCTGAATGACATCTGTTTAAAAACAGGTACCGAAGGACAATCCGATAGCCCAGGAGAAAATACTACAGGATTTGACGAGCAATGCATATACAGCTCATCGCTATGAAGAAAAGAGAAATGAATAATTGATCTGATGTTTTCATTTTATACTTAAATGTAATTGATAGAATTCTATTCAGGCCTTTCAATAAAATTTTTTAATTTAAAAATTTTTAAAGAGTGATAATGGCTATGAGAGCTGAACATAGAATGCGTGTAATAAATTTATTCAACACAATACATTAATAGACGTTTCAATTCTAATATGGATTCTTCTCAATATCGTAAAACATTCATTAGAATATAACTAGATAATATGATCAATTAAAATAAAACGAAATAAGAAAATGAATTCTGTGACATACAGTCGTGTCTTGTGAAACGTAGACATGAAGAAATAATTGATAAATTGATAAATTAATAAAATTTTTAAGAAAGAGAAGAAGTTAATAATTATATGTTTATTCATTCATTTAGAAATTCCGATCACATTATCATAATCAAAAGTTAAATTAAGTATATATTTATAGAATCTATATATTATATGAGTTTTACATTTTAATATAGTCATTCTTACTTGATTTACATATTCAATTAATTTATCACTGTATATAACTTGTTAAATTAAAAAAAGCTCCAAGGCAAAGAGGAGTATAAACGTTATTAAATGATGTTTGATTGACATGGATCGAAAAATCGTTCTTGTGAGAAAGTTGAAAACAACTTTCGGTTTGACTTCTGCTCTCTTTTCTTTTTTTCTTAACACTCTGTGCGAGCCTTTGCATCGATTGTAAGAAAGGATCAACTAAGAGGAAAAGACCGTTCCGAGAAATCGTTTGGTCTCGATATAATTATCGCAACACTGTTTATATATTGGCGCAGTTACTGCCAGCGTGGGTGTTGAAACAGCATGTGTGTAAACAGCAATAAAACACATAGTGCGGTCCCGGATAGGTAATCTCCTCCCCACGAAAGCGTAAACGGGAGTTCCCTGGAAAACCACCGATGGGCGGGGTTGAACCAACCTCTAGATTCCCCCAGTGTTAAATTAAACAAATCTCCTTCGTTAGGGCAACTGGATGCAACGGAGTCTTCGGTGAGTTCGCGCCCTGATCAACAGGGTGCTCCGCGTCCTCTCCCTCGATTACACCAGTGCAACATTACATCTGCGACCTTATTCCTCCCGCAAGAATATACAGTGAAATTCAACGGTGCTTTTCAGTTTTCATCGCGAGAAAGGAAAAAACGGTGAGAACGTGATGTAATTTCAATTTCACGGCTCATTGAGTGCATCACGCCAGAACATCCTGACCGTTTCCATTGCCGACAAAGAAAGGATAACACAGATCGAAGCACAGAATAATATTAAAAGTCTCTTAACATTTTGACGACTTGCAAACGACGCGGTTTTCGTTCTTCGAGGAAGACCTTCGAGGAAGTATTCTCGATGCAACAAAGCAGTTGTCCTCAGGTTCATGGTCTCTTCGCAGATGCGAAGGATCAAGCGTGCGATCTGCGTGCTCGGTGTCAAGAATACTGGTACATCTTTCCGATTAACAAAATGTTCCCCATAAAACGTGCGTACGGATTCACTAGCCTGGTCCCGGAGGTGCTGCGTGCCGACATCGCCTGGCCAGCCTTCAATCAAGCGTCCTGGCCAATCTTGGCGAGACCGCTGATCGGCTATAAGATCGCGCCGCATCATGAAAAGCCACCGTACTCCTATATCGCTCTGATCGCGATGGCGATCAACTCGTCGCCGAAGCGAAGGCTGACGCTTGCCGGCATCTACAAGTTCATCATGGACAGGTTCCCCTACTACAGGGAGAACCGGCAAGGTTGGCAGAACAGCATACGACACAACCTTAGCCTGAATGATTGCTTCGTGAAGGTACCGCGAGACCGGACGAGTACGGACGATGGCGAAGGTCATACAGTCGGAAAGGGAAGTTACTGGACCTTGGACCCGTCCGCCAGCGAAATGTTCGAGCACGGCAATTACAGGCGCAGGAGAACAAGACGACAGAGGGTACTCGCTCATGATAGAAGATCGGAAGGATTATCGGTACAGAGAATTAAGCTTTAGTCTTGTGCAAAAGAGGATCCTGCGTAATATTACTTCTTGACTCTTTGAGACACGATGGTCTTCCTTCGTGTCATATAGTCTTTCAACATCTGAAGCTAGTCTTCTGGAATGAATCATGTTTATATACATAGATATTCGGGCTAGGATGCAACTTTATGGAACATTTCTGATAACACTACTGAAGCGCGGTTTTGATATGATTGCAGATATCAACCAAATTCTTATCCAATTCGACGAAACTTCAAGAAGAACAACAAGAAATCACTGAAACAAATGAACAAAATGTCATGACGAAGGATACCGAAATCGAACGTATAGATTCTCCGGGACGTATCACCAAAACGACGATGTTCAGTATCGACAACATCCTACGGAAATCCACACGAGAGTCGCAATTATAGTTTTATGTATTATCGAAATATTATATAATATAACATCAATGGAACATCTTGGCATCGAGCAACAATGTTAAATAAGAAGATTCGTTTTGAAACTGGAAATCAAATTTTCTTATATTATATGTGCATTCACGAATTATAACTAGTTCTATTTATTGTGAAATGTTTTTTTTATTTTAGCATAAAGAATACACGACATTATACTGGAAGTTGGGGACTAATATACGTGTTTTATATAATTTCTTCCACTCGCGCTAATCCAGCGAACTATTAATATAAACTACTACTACATAACATAGATATAAATTTATTAAAGTCTGACCGAAACTACATTTTAATCTCCGGTTAAAATCGAAAATGAATATTCAATTGTCATTCAATTGTCGAAAACAAAACTGAAATCGAAACTTAGATAAGTCTTACTAAAAAAAAAAAAAACAAAAAAGAGAAAGAAGCTAATAAAATCACATTTCTTCGGCCAGAATTGAAATGGACTTTTTGATTAATTTTACAGAAATAGTATGATTTTCAGAAAGAAATCATATGACAAATTTATTTACTCTTTAAAAAACATATTTTATTAAAATATCTAACTATAATAATAACTATAATAATATAATAATATTGCAAAAAAATCAAATCACAATTATAATAACTGTGTGTGATTTGATTTCTTTAAAAGTTGAGAATTATTAAGATCACATCAAAGTTTATATTCAATCGTCTTATGCTTAATCAACGAGTTAATAATTAAAATCGAATAGTTGTTTTTTGAACGCTTACCGGCGCATTGCAACTTGTACAGTTTATTCACCGAAATTTTCTCTTAATTTCAGTCAAAACCGAAATCAAATCGAAACCCTGATCTTTGATCGAAACTGACCGAAATCGAAACTTCGATCGGACTCTAAAATTTATGTATATGTTATGTAGCAGTTATGTCTATATTTGTTGAGAAAGTGAAAAGCTCAATGAAGAGATTTTGCTAATACTTTTGAAATTTTCACAAGTATATTTTCTTTAGAAGTATAAATTTAAAGGTTTGTGAATTATTAGTGCGCTCTTTGTCCTGACAAAGTGAATGACAAGATTCACGAAGTGTTGATTATTTAGTAATTAAACACGGTGATAACTTGCGAACCTTTTGACACTTTTGAAGATTTTGCATTTCGGATAACTAAAGAGAAAACAAGAAGAATCAATTAGTTAAAGTTTTCAAAAAATTCTCATAATTGACCAAAAGATCAGCATCATTTTTTTTATATGTATAATTCGTGAGATAAAATTAAATTATAATAAAAAAATATATTAAAAATATATTAAATATGTTTCATTGTTTAATTATACTTTACATCATTTCTTTATAAACAAAATCCTAAAAGCAGATTTTTAGATACACTCTAATTTATCAAGTATTTGGTATCTACAATTGAACGCGACTTTCTCCTCACCTTTTAACAATGTATTTTGATTAAAATAATTTATCGCTGACACTTTGATTGTAATTAATTGTTATCAATCTAAAAATTAATCAGAATATTTTGGAAAAAGAAACGCGTTAATGTTTTCACATATATATTTAAAATTTATAATAATTTAAATTATATTAGAATTAGATTGTTTCTCATTTTTAAATGAAATATTTTATATTTATTGGGTTATCCGGAAAGTTCGTGCCGCAAAAGATTTAAATTTAATAAATGTATACTAAAATTTAAATCTTCTGCGTTTCAATTTTCCTTCAAAATCGGCACGAACTTTCCGGATAATTCAATACAACGAAATAAGATTCAATAAATAGATGAAATAAGATACAACAATAAAATAAGAAATATTTTATGTTAAAATTTATAAAGATAAATATTATATATTCGAAAACTTGAAAACTTAAAGATATATCTGTATTGATTAGAATTACCGTTTGTGGATGTGTTATCTCCTGTAGATGTGTTACGCGTCGAAAATATCTATGGCTATATAATTCTACGTATTTTGTGCACATAGAGGCGCCAGTAGACGGATTCCACGTCTACCTACATTTATTCTCATTTCCGGACAATCAGGACCGGGGAGGACTTCAGTCACTCCAGAGTGTTCCAGACTCTGGACTTGGGCTTCTCTTTGGTAGTATACCATACAGAACTATATGAAAAATCTGAAAGAATTCTAAATATTTATATCGTTATATCAATTCCGACAGGATTAAGATATATGTTTGGAGGAATGACAGAAGAAGATTTCAGAAAAATTTAGTACTGAAGAAATAATGTATTAATAATTTATTAATAATTAATTCTTAATTTTCCTCTCTTGACTCATAAATAGTGTAGAATGCGAATTCAATGTGATGAGAGATATTTATATTTAAAAATAAAGAGGAACTGGAAGAGATAATTGTAAATAAACAACGAAAATAGAAAACACGGAAGTCATAAGAGAAAAAAGACAAATATTTATATCAAAAACACTAATTTTTCAATTGATATAGTTTAATGATAAATATTATCAGCATTACTGATAAATGTTATCAGCATTAATGGTTATCTGGTTGTGGCATAGATGATAACATAGATGCTTTCCATTTGGTGACCAGTCGACACAAATATCGTTTAATATATTTGTTATTAATTGAATGCCGAGAAAAATAAAATATGCCATATGTGTGTCGATTTGTGTCACTAAATTTAAAACATTCTCAATTGTTCTCAATAAAGTTTACTTGTTTGTTGAAGTACGTGTACTTGTGTTATATTCAACATGGCAACTGGCGATGATAGACGTGTCGCTCTAATAACAGGTATCTCCGGGCAGGTAATTATTTTATTTTTTAAATTTAATTTTAATTAATCTTAATGTTGTCATAAAATATATTGACTCAATGAAATGTATAATTTTCAAATTGAAACTGCAGTATTAAATTTTAATGAAGAAAATATCAATTTAATCTCTAATGATCATTTTTATTAATGTAGATTAACTACTTTAATTTAATTAATTCTTTTTTTCTAATCCTTAAAACTAAATGAGGATAAAAAGTAAATCAAATTGAAATTAAAGTAAATCTACATTGGCAAAAATGTTATTATACGTAAACATTTTAATTGCCTTGTGCTCGCTATGAAACTTCATGACAACATAGATTTATACTGTCTTCAATCTTCTGCTATTGTAGGATGGCTCCTACCTGGCAGAATTCTTATTGGAAAAAGGATATGATGTGCATGGCATTATCAGGCGGGCCAGTTCATTTAACACTGCACGTATTCAGCATCTTTATGAGGATCCAAAATGTCATCGACAAGGCAAAATGAAGCTGCATTATGGTGACATGACAGATTCCAGTAGTTTAATCAAAGTTATTAGCGCGATACAACCGACAGAAATTTATAATCTCGCAGCACAAAGTCATGTTATGGTGTGTATTTTATTTGTATATAAACAACGAAAATAGAAAGCAAGGAAGGCATAAGAGAAAAAAGATAAATATTTATATCAAAAACAATATGATAATATAGTTTAAACTGATATAGTTTAATAAAAAGATAAATATTATCAACATTATTGATAAACATTCATCAGCATTATTATATTAATATCAGCATGTATATGTATATGATTCATACTTATACAGGGTGTCCCAGAATGATCCCCAAATATTTCGTGTGCTGGTAGAGCGAACTAAACTGAGTCCAAAGTCCTCTCCTATTTTGCAGTAGTTAATAAGATGTTAAAAATCGCTGAATACTGGTTTTTAATAATTTTTTATCCAAGTATTATCAACTTCAAAAAACGGCAAGAGACAAAAATTATTTATTTTTTCTCATAGAGTTTTAAGAATTTTTTCAGAATTTTTTATCAACTTTTTAGTACAGTACTTTTCTTATTGGCAACTATTTTTCCAAATGAAAAAATGCGGTACTAAAAAATTCTTAAAAAATTCTCAGAAGTCTATAAAAAGAAAATAAACAATTTTTGTCTGTTGCTGTTTTTCTGTAAAATATTTGAGTAAAAAATTATTGAAAATCAATATTCGGCGATTTTTAATAATTAATGTCTTGTTAACTATTGCGAAAATTGCAAAATGATAAAAGACTTTTCAACTGAGTTTAGTCCGCTTTACCTGCGCACAAAATATTTGGCAATCATTCTGAAACACCCTGTATTAATCAATATCAATACGTATTTATATTAAATAAATTAAAAATGTATTATTTTATATTGCAATAGGTAAGCTTTGAAGTAAGCGAATATACTGCAGAAGTAGACGCAGTAGGAACAGTAAGAATATTGGACGCGATACGTACATGCGGCTTAGAAAAATCTGTGAAATTTTATCATGCATCAACATCCGAACTTTACGGCAAAGTACTGGAAGTTCCACAAACTGAAAAGACACCATTTTATCCACGCTCTCCATATGGTAATTGAGAGAAAAAGATATACTTTTACATTAAATTATCTTTATATTAAGCTTTTATCTATATTAAATAATTTTATATATTTTTTTTCTCATATATCATATTTTTTCTTTTAGCTTGTGCAAAATTATATAGCTTCTGGATAGTCGTAAATTACAGAGAAGCATATAATATGTTTGCATGCAACGGTATATTATTCAATCACGAAAGTCCGCGAAGAGGAGAGAATTTTGTTACAAGAAAGGTGACGAGATCTATAGCAAAAATACATTTAGGTCTACAGGATGTACTTGAATTAGGAAATTTAGATGCAAAACGAGATTGGGGCCATGCGAAAGATTATGTAGAAGTAAGTAATATTTCATGATTATTACATTATTACGTTATTCATAACTTTTATAGATTAATTAAATATTAGTTCAAGTTTCTTGACATAAACTGCCATGTACAATATGCAGGCAATGTGGTTGATGCTCCAACAAGCACAACCGGATGATTATGTCATAGCGACAGGAGAAACACATAGCGTGAGAGAATTTGTAGAGGTGGCATTCCAATATGTAGGTCGTACAATTAAATGGCAAGGCGAAGGTGTGAATGAAACGGGACAAGATGCACAAACCGGTCAAGTATTAGTTCGCATAAATCCGAAATTCTTCCGTCCAACTGAAGTGGTAAGATATCTGAAATGTAGAGAAATGAAAGATAAATTTTATAATATATTATATATTATATATATTATAATATTATATATTATATATTATAATTTTAATTTATATTTATAATTGTTTTTTTCCTATTCGACAGGATGTACTTCTGGGTGATGCATCAAAAGCAAGAAACAAATTCGGATGGAAACCAACAGTTACATTTAAGGTAATTTTTTGTACATCTAAAAAATGCAAGTAATTCTCAAAAATATAATATTCTATATGTTTCCAAATATCATACATTATATTCATATTGCAGGAACTTGTAAAGGATATGATGGATTCTGACTTAGAATTAATGTCAAAAAATCCAAACGCTTAACATTATTGCATTGGAATTGTGATACAATCAGACGCATTTATCATTTTGTTTATGAAGCGACAGTATTTAAAATCTTATCTACACTGTAAATATATAAATATTTTTAAAATGTTTTTGAAATTCTTTAGAGAGTAAATGAGATTTTTATGTGTAATTTAGTAACATAATAATGTTATACAGATAATCGAGAGTGATGCCCCGTTTTGTGAATTGCAGGATGCAAGTTTAAGTGACCAATCTATATTAATATTTTTATTTGCGTTGCTAAATTTTTATAATTTTATTCTAAAACAACTCGTTTTCTTTCGCTCTCATCTTAATCCAGCAAATGAAAATGGATTGAAATGAATTGAAATGGATTCAGATTTTCAGAAATATTGATTCACGAATGTTAAAATAAATGCTTTTCAATCCTGAATGCATTTTTATTCATTTATAGAAATTGCATGGAGCATATTTCTATGCCTTTCAATTTAAAAATAATATTAGCTTTTTCTGTGCACAACACATTAATACTGTTCAATTCAAAATTTTAAAATGCAGTTTTTCAATTCAATTGCATCCAATTGAATCCAATTAAATTTAAAAAACAGTATCGGTTATTTAAAATACGCATTCGGATAGAAAAAATTTCAATCCATTCTTTTTGCTTTTTTCAAACAAAACATTCGTTACATTTAAGTGACGATTTTCTAAGAAAGTGACATATTCTGCAATTGTTATATATTTTTTACTATTCTGAATTGAATTAATCTTTAAGTTAATGAAAAAAAGAGTCGGACTGTAAGCAACATATTTTACCGTGGTATAACAGACCGGGTATATTAAGGCTATAGAAAGATAGAAGGAAGAAAGTTTTAAGTTTCGTTTATAATTCAAGTAACGTTATTTCAATCCGGCCTTAGTATATTATCCTGAAATCTATTCTCTCATCTTGCAATTGCAATTTTGAATAACAAAAGTTCAGCTTATTCGATCAATTCGATCTCCTCTCAATCTTTCCTTTTTTTTCTTCGCCATTTCCTTTCCCTTCCACCCTACTGTATCTCGGTGTTTCTTCTCTTTCTCACTCCCGTTCGCGAGATTGTAAACAATTCGAACGTATATTATAAAGGTTTATATTATAATATATTATTGATTCTAAATATTTAATAGAACGATAATGAAGTATTAAAACCACTGAACTTTTTTTTAACTAAAATTTCTAATCTGAGAATCAGAAATATATATGTAAAATATTCAACAAAAAATTACACAAAAAGTTTATTCAGATTGATACTGTTCTCAAATCCTTTGAAAAATCCAAGACTTGATTATTATACATACAAGAATTCGAGTTAATTTGTAACGAGAAAGAGATTCATCGTTATAAATTAATAATCTCGTAGGAGGATTGTTGAAAAGTCTAATAATCCCAAGATGTAAAGTATTCTTGAATGTGTTGAATATTACTAATTTATTAAAGAAGAAAAGGAGAATACAGTAGAAGCTATGGTTTTATATCTGAATAAAATAAAAAAACATAATCTTTTACGCTAATAAAAATATGCATATAAAAAATCATGTATACATAATATCTTATTTATTCAATTATTTATTTAATAAGTAAAAATAAATATTGTAAATATTTAATAATTGTTTATAAATCATTTTATATGCAGCTAGTAATTATCTAACTAATTTCATGCTGATGTTTATTGGACTCTGACTTTTCTATTCTGAAATCCTTGCGCGATCGAATTATTCTATTTTAAAATCTCCCGCTCTCATTTCCCACTTTTATTCGATATATATTCGATATGTATATTTGACTTCAATCAGAAAGTACAGTCAGAAGTACATTGTATTTATATAAATTTATGTATGCATTATACGTTATATCATCATCGTATGAGTGATTTAAGCTAATTTTAATGAACTGTCACAATTAGGCTCGATTGCACCAACATTATTTTAAATTGAGCTTAAAAATCTTCTCTTTCTTTTCGATAAAAAGATAGAAGGAAGAAAATTTTAAGCTTCGTTTATAATTAAAGTAACGTTATTTCAATCCGGCCTTAGTATATTATCCTGAAATCTATTCTCTCATCTTGCAATTGCAATTTTGAATAACAAAAGTTCAGCTTATTCGATCAATTCGATCTCCTCTCAATCTTTCCTTTTTTTCTTCACCATTTCCTTTCCCTTCCACCCTACTGTATCTCGGTATCTCTTCTCTTTCTCTCTCATTCCCGTTCGCGAGATTGTAAACAATTCGAACGCGCGCGGAGGAAGGCTCAGAAGTCAAGAAGAATGCGACTGACGTGGACTGAAGGGAGGTATGCGCTTTGCCTGCTAATCTTGCAAATAAGACTGACGAATTCGCGGACATCCTGGCGATTGAATGCCGCTGACAAGGTTGTGAAGACGACCGACTTCGTGAGCGCAGTGGAAGACGATCCGATCTTCGACATCCTCTCGGGCAGCGTGGTCATCGGCAACGGTCAGACCTGGAGTAGGACCGCGACGTCCGAGAAGCACGAGAAAGTGCAGCTATACTGTCAGGAATGCAAAGGTTTCGCCAGCCAGGAGAGGTAAGGAACCAGACGTACAATTACTTTGCCCAGGTTCGCACTACTAGGTTATAAAATTATAGCTTGTGCTCTCGGTTTTTTTCTTTCGTTTTTCTTCCTTTCCATTGCATTATGCTATCACATTTATTATAAATTTGTAATATGTTACTCAGCAAACGAGAATGGATTGAAATTTTTTTCTATCTGAATGTGTATTTAAATAGCGGATACTTTTTTTGAATTTAATTGAATTCAATTGGATTCAATTAGATTCAATTGGAGTAATTGGATTGAAAAACTGCATTTCCTATTCAAAATTTTGATCAGTATTCACAGGAAAAGCTAATATTATTTTTAGATTGAAAGGTATAGAGATATGCTCCATGCAATTCCTAAATGAATAAAAATGCATTTAGGATTGAAAAGCATTTCATTTTAACATTCGTGAATCAATATTTCTGAAAATCTGAATCCATTCCAATTCATTTCAATCCATTCTCGTTTGCTAGATAGACACTTTCATAAGCTAACAAAACAAAAAGTAGTAAGTATGACTTAATTATTTAAATAAAAAAGCCAGAATTGCATAGTCTTTCTGCAACTAAGTTTGTATCATATTACAGTCTACCTGCATGCGTTTTATTTTTTTTTTCTGTTTCTATCATATACACAGTGATACCATTTATATGACATAATTTTCTTTTTCTTTCTGTAGTTAGCGTTTTGTGTGTGGCTTGCTGTTCATTCAGTGTTAACAGCCCTAACTTTGGTCCCCTTGGCAGACGACTTTCGTCATACGTGTTGAAGGATACGCAAAATATCAGCGAGTCCTTCCCGCTGTCCTCGCAAGTGTCGAATGAGCAGATGACGTGCGCCTCTGGTCAGCAATGCGACAACATAATATTGGACTGTGGCAAGCCAGTGAATTTTACTTACTACGATAATCTAATTGGCGTGGCCAACAGAAACAAGCATCCATTGGTACCAGAACCTAATGTAGCACTCATGTTCAAGAAGAATGGAGGCAAAACTATCGATGTCGACATTGATTTGCTCGAGAGACGCTTGAAGAAAGCAAAGCGAGAGGTATATATTTCAAAGCATTTAGTGTATAGTAGCACTAGATATCAGTGTAAGAAGCATACACTATAATTAAATACTATATTATGAAATTGCCAAAGATTCCAGCGTTTTCATTTTTCAGTGAAGCAAAAAAAACAAACTCTTATTGTAATCATAACACTTATATTTTTTAGATAAACTATTTTTTTATACACTTTTTGACATATATCATATATAATGAAGGTTTTATATAACTTTTAATTTTTCTTTAAATAAATTTTTCTTTCATTCTAGAAACCAAAATCTGTCCAACTGTATAATCAGATAGGAAATTTCTGGCGCATAAAAGGTGATGCACAAAGATCAATTGAATGCTTTCGCAGAGCACTTGCTGTATCACCACATAATGCAGAAGTGCTCTTGAATTTGGCTAGAGTATTGCTGGTACAACATTATTTGGATGATGCAACGTATTTAGCTAGACGATCTTTAGAATTGCAACCACCAGATCGCAATGCGTGGGAGCAATATCTTACACTTGGTCAAATATTCAAGGTATAGGGATAATAATTTGCGATTTAGTGATGTAAAATATATTCACTGAAATTCCAATAGCTGAATATTCTTAATAAACATATCCACAAAATATTTTATTATAATAAAGATTACAACTCTTTTCTCTGATGGTTTCAATAAATATTTATATGAGTAAAATAAATGAATGAAAGGAAATGTATGAATAAGTGATGATTATTCATTGAAATATATATATATATATATATATATATATATAAAATATGACAATATAAAATGTAATGTTAGATATATTTTCATTTTACAGGCATATGGACATTTTCAAGAAGCAGCTGTACACTTACGTCATGCATTGGAATTAAAACCAGATCTCTCTGATGCTGCCGATGCATTAAAAGAGGTCGAGTCACTGCCGCTCGCAAGTATGCATGTGTATACATTGCTGATCATTGTCGGTTTGGTACGTAAACTAATGAAACAAATATACAAATTATCTATTCTTTATGGGTATCAACAATTAAATAAAGTTTAATATTTTTTGCATCTGTTTTTTAAATAAGGTTTTATCTAAACAATTTTACGAAAAAACAGAACTTTTTTTCTTCTATGAATAACTTCAGCAAAAATTGTTAATGATATGATGACTTGTTATCATAGGTGCTAGGTGTACTCTTCGTTGTATTGACCAGTGTAGAATGTGATGATGTTTCAACTCTAGTCAGTGGACAGCTTCAGCGCCCAGTACAACGACATTTCAGTCGTGCTATGGCTATGCGCAGCTTGCGGCTTAATGTTGCACGCAATAAACGTTGTTGATGGTAATGATAATGATGATGACTCATTATTGACAAATCAGTCGTTCGTACATGTGATAGAATAACTTCTCATGCCATGACGACTTATCTCCCTGCAAAGTATTATTTATAACATGACGCAATAATTCTTGGGCTGCACTAATTGTTTATTATATATCTCTGGAGAAAAATATATATGAGGAAATATACAAAAATTTCATTACTTCTTTATTCAGACCGGATCCAAGCCATTATCAATTTCGAGATTAAATTCTTAACTTCTATCCAATATTTATTTTTATCTTTTCAACATGTTTACAGAAAATAAAAAATATGGAATGTCATACATATGTGTGTGTGTGTGTGTGTGTGTGTGTGTATACACACACACACACACACACACGATTATAATTCTCTTTTAGTGCTTCATACATATATATATA